CCGCTTGGTCCCCGTGCCACCAGTTGTCGCTGCCCACTCGCTGCTGGCGGCTGCGTGCCCGTAGCAGCCCCATCCCCGCACGCCTGAGCCTTGGGCTGTGCCACGCTGAGGTGGTCCCTGTCCCAGAATCTGAATTTGGGGTGGGCTAGAGGCTTCTGTGGCTCCTGGTGGGGCCGAGCTGGAGCTGGCCCAGCAGCCCACGGAACCGGCTGAGCATCTCATCTTCCTCCAGGCATCGTGTTCCCCTACCAGCCTCCTCGCGGGCAGTATAGCCTCAATTACCACGAAGCCAAGCGAGTGTGTGAGGAGCAAGCTGCCATGCTCTCCACCTTCAACCAGCTTTTCCAGGCCTGGAGTGAGGGGCTGGACTGGTGCAACGCGGGCTGGCTGGCAGACGGCACAGTGCAGTACCCCATCCGCCTGCCCCGCAAGCCCTGCGGGGGGCTGCACCTGGCCCCGGGCATCCGCAGCTACGGCCCGCGCCACCGCCACCTGCACCGCTTTGATGCCTTCTGCTTCTCCTCTGCACTTAGAGGTGGGTGCTGGGCCAGAGGCTGGGTGGGAGGGAACCTGGGGAAGGTGCTATGCCCTCTCAGTTGCATCCCATGTCCTCCATCCACTTAAGACACTGGGCTCAGCCCGGGTGGGGATGCTCCAGGCAGGGATGCTCCAGGTGGGGATGCTCTGTATGATGTTCAGCAGTGGTTCTCCCCTTATGCTCTCCTCTCCCTCCTAGGAGAGGTTTTCTACCTGGACCACCCATCTGGGATGACGCTGGAGGAGGCCAAGCAGAGCTGCCAGGATGCAGGGGCCGAGATTGCCCGAGTAGGACACCTCTACTCCGCCTGGAAGTTCCTGGGGCTGGACCGCTGCGACGCGGGCTGGCTGGCGGACGGCAGCGTCCGCTACCCCATCACCAAGCCCCGGCCCAACTGTGGCCCCGCCGAGCCTGGTGTCCGCAGCTTTGGCTTCCCCAGGAAGGGCAGGTTTGGTGTCTTCTGCTACAAGGAGAGATAAGGAGCCAGGAAGGCTCCTTCTTGGCCTGAGGATGTTTCCAGCCTGATGGTGCCCAGTGTCGGGTGTTTCTCAGGGCTGTCTTGGGGGTGGCAGGGGGGAGGTGGGGTAGGGAAGAGGCTTCTTTTTGTTTTATTTTTTTTCCTTCCTTTATATTTTCCACACCTTGCTGAGCAGCTGACACATGTAGCTGCTTGGGGCAGCTGCTAGCTGGGGCAGTGTGGGGCCATGCCCAGCATGGGGTGCACGTGAGGATGGTCCCCACACCAGCACCGCAGATGGTACACAGGCTGCTGCTGCCTTGCTTGGCTTCTTGCGGTGGCAGTGGGACACCAATGCCCACCTGCCCTTCCAGGCTGATCCTGCTCCTCAGCTTGTGGGGTGGGAGAGAGGTGAGACTGGATTTGGCCAGAGGCAGGGAGGGGGTGTCTCTGTGGTCCCAGCCCCTCTTCCAGCCCTGTCCTCATCCCACTGAAGGTTGCCATTGTGCCTGTCTCCATGGGAGCACCAGTGCCTTATCTCCATGTGCTTCTCACCTGGACTCCACTTGAACTCTGGTGCCTTCTTCTTTGAGAGTTTGGTTATGAAAAGATGTATTTTCCTGGACCTCTTCTAATAAATCAGTGGAGAAAGCCCTGGAGCAACATGGCTGTGTCCCCATCCCTGTCCCAGCATGAGAGAGGGGTCTGCCACAGAGAGAGGATTTGGGGATCTCTGTCTGGACACCCAGGACTGTCTCATCCTTGGCTGAGCATCATCTCATCACTGTCAGCTTCTGCACAGGAGCTCATTGATGAGTATTAATTAACCCCCCAGTGTGAGGACTGGAAGCTGGAGGGCAAAGTATTTCCTGCTGGTAAGGGGCTTTAGAGGATTTTAGGCATGCAGGTTAACTCTGTCCTGGGGTGCGAGCTGAATGGGGGGGCAATGTCTTACCCTAGGGTCTTTCTTCAGCTGGGTCTTGAATCATAGAATAGTTTTGGTTAGAAGGGAACTTTAAAGGTCTAGTCCCCACAGATCTATTGTCTGCAGGGCTGCACCCTTGGGTGCTGGCTGGGGCTGAGCTGGTCCTGTGAAGCCTGAAGCAGCCTGTTAGGGCTCCTCTTTCTTCCCCACTGTCTTGCCCCTGCCCCAGGCCTACACAGACACCCCTTTTCCCCCCCAAACCACAAAACTGTACAGAAGCCTGTTCCGATTTCACTCTCTTTATTATTTATCATTCTTTCAAAATAGGATATATTCAAAAATATAAATAGGTGCAGGGAACGCTGGTGCCCCGCACGGTCCCCTGGAAAGAGCATGTTGTCCCGGGATGGGTGCTGTGCTGTTGGGGGGGTGGTGGGGAAGCAAAGGGGGGCTCCAGCCCTCCCCACCCACACTGACACGCTGGAGCAGTAGGAAGATTCTGGAAAAAACATAAAAATATTAAAAATCAACCCCCAAAAAAGGTGCTGTTCACCCCGGAGATTAAATAACAGAAATAATTAAATTGTTTGTGGATAAAATCAGGAAAAAAAAAAAATAATCATCTTTATTATTTAACTTACCCCCCTGCCCTCTGCAAACCCACCCCCCTCCCTGTCCCTGAAGGCACGAAGATAATTGGAACCGGACGGTTAGTAAAAATGCTGAGATCTAATTTGTTTTTCTTTGGTGCTTGGAAAAAAAACACATTAATTTTTTTTTTTTAATATATATATACAAACACAAAGGTGGGTTTGTCTTTAATATAATTTGTTTTTTTCCTTATACGACAAAAAAAAAAAAAGCAACAAGAAGAAGAAGAAATCAACTCTGTTAATATAACTGTTCTGTTAAAAATCTCTCTTTCTCTCTCGCTTTCCCCCTCGGTCCCTCTCGCCCCGCTCTAATGGGTGGGTCTGTGCACGGCTCTGCCGCTGGGTCTCGACTGGCTCCTGGGGCTCCTCTTGTAGAGACTGCGCTGGTAGTTGGAGGCTGTGGGAGAGGGAGGAGAAGAAAAGGCACCTTGTTAGGAGGAGCTGGGACAGAGACGCTGCTTGTCCCGTGCTGGCTGTCCTGGCCCCGGGCTCCCTGGACAAACACGGGCAGCCGCAGGCAGCGCTGCCCGGCAGGCGGCTGCGGGAGCACCAGCCTGATCGCCCGTGCACAATGAGTCCTTCTCTCCTCCTCGCAGCTGGGATTTGTTTCACCCAGGGGTGAGGGTGCCCCGTGTCTCCCGGGAGCCTGGCAACAAGCATCCTCTCCACGGATGCTCGGCCCATCCTTCCCCTGTACCCAGCCAAGAGGGCAGCTCTGCTAACTGGGTGGGAGTGGGGGCTGCTTCCACATCTCCCCTTCCCATCCCATCCCTGATCCATTGGGGAGGGAAATATTCATCAGTAGTGGGAGGCACTCCGAGCACAGGAAGGGAAGCAGCCCTGTCTGGCTGGCAGGGACAAGGTTTCTGCCTTATGTTGCTCCCTTGAAGGTGGCACCACTCTGGTGTGATAATTGCTGGAGGGTTTTGCTGGCAGCAGCAGAAGCTGGTTGGGAACAGCTTCAGCCTTTTGATCACTGCTGGTCTGTGCCAGGAGCAACTCGCAGCTCTCTGGGTCTGTGGCAGAGCCACAGGAGTCAGCAGCTTGTTCCACACCATGAGGCTGCCCTTGGACATCTCGTCTATCCTTTCTCCTTCCATCTCCGACCTGGGGTGGTTTGTCTCTTAAGCCCCGATCGACTTTCCCTGGCTGTTGGGACTGTTCCTTTAGCTGGAATTCCCCAGCTGGACCAGAACCTGGCAAGGAGGCTGCTGGACAGATGCAGTTTGGCTGAGGCTGATGAAATTACTGGGAAACTGCAGGCGAGCAGGGATGGGACAGGGGTGTAGGCAGGCCTGGGAGTGGGCTTGGACACCAGTGGGAGAGGGCTGGCTGCTGTCGGCTGGAAGCCTGACAGGAGAAGGGTCAGGAGCCCAGCCCTGTCCCTTGGCTTAGCTCTGCCACAGGGCTCCTGTCTGTTCCTAGGGCAGGGGGATGCTAGGGAGGGCTTGGGGGGCACCACAGTTCCTTGCTCCTATTCTCTCTGCTGATGCAGGTGGTGCCAAAACAC